AAAAAAAAAACCAAACAAACGGTCTTTTAACTACGAAGTGCCTTTTTTTTGTGTTTTTTTTTTTTTTTAAATAGATTTTACCGATATGTGCAACTGTGTAGATGGGATGATAATGGCCATAAATAACACAAGAGTTACCAACACACCACAACCCATGTTTCAGATTATGTGGATCAAAGCACATTTTTTTTTTTTTTTCCCTTGGAACCATTTTACCTTGTTTTATATTTAAAATGTACTTTTTACACACAAAAAAAAAAATCACCCCCACCTTTCTTTTTTCTCTTTTGGTCTAGAATGTTGTAATAACTAGTGAGTTCTTTTGCCAATGAGGAGAGAATGGACTCCCCAGCTATCAGGAGAAACATGGTGATGCAAGGCAAAGGCTGCATTCCCTTTTATTTTTTAATAAACCCCCCCCCCCAACCATGAACTCCAGATACAGTTGCAATCATACAACGTATGGGACCCTCTTCACACCCGTAGTGCAATTCAACTGGCTTGTATTGGTGCACATAAAAAGGAAAGCAAAGATCGAGTTGCTTCCATTTTGCCATGATACATTCAGATGAAAACAGCTGTCCCAAAAACCCTCTGTCCGAGCCTTGCTGCAGCTAACGGTTGGAACTTCTCTGTGTTCATTGCTTTTTTGGTTTGTTTTTGGGTACTTAAAGAGAACGAGTCTTCAAGTTAGGCTAGACAACCCTGGGGTTTCCTTTTTGCTTTTGTATCCGTTCATTTTGCCTTCGATTAGCCAAAAACCAAAAATAACAACCAAAACCTTTAAAAACAAAAAACAAAATGTTATTACTTATGCAAAAAATGAAAATGGCAATATATATTACTAGAGCCAAAATGGTATACATAGTATTTGTGTTCGGCTATGTTCTTTTTTATTTTTTTTTAAATTATAAATGTGTAAAATTTGAGGTTGTTTGCTAACATGAATCATCATATAACTTTAAAAGAATATTTATAATTATTTAATGACATTTGGACCCTTTAAACGTTTCTTAATGTAATGATATATTGACTTCGGTCTCTAAAAGTGGTTTGTTTTTTTTTTTTTTTACTTATTACATTTCTGCAGTGGTGTAAACCTCAACCTTTACCCAACTCTGAAAAGCAGTTCCAGTGTGAACCAGTTTACAATGTGACTTAAAAACGACAAACCCAACCCAAATACATCCACATCAAATGATTTTGGATGTAGGATCTTTTTATATAACTTATGAAGGAAATATTGTGTTTAAAATATTTTTATTACCTGTCTGGTTGCCTTCAACACAGTCTTGCCTTTTAATCAGTAGTTGTGGAGACACTGGAAAAATGGTAGGAAGGATGAAATATTTTCCACCCTTCCCCTAATTTCTTCTTCTCCCAGGATTTTTCTCAGAACTTCAAAATTTGAAAATATTCATATTTAAAATGTCCTGTTTTGACAACATGATTTGAATTTCGACAGGGTGTTTTTTTTTCCCAAAGAAAAATCAGAATCGTTTCAAAGCCCATATTTTACAAATAATGACTTGTTAAATATCTCAGAAATGGGAGTAAGGGAGAATTGGTGAAACTTTTTCCCCTCCCCTTGCAATTTCAGCCCACTCGATGGAATAAAAAGGTTCAAAACTTGAGACAGAAACTGCCTGGTAGCGAATCACCGCCCGATAGCATTAAATGCTAGAGCCGTAAGGATGCTGTGTTGACTTTGAAGCCGATGTGGCTGTTGCCGTGTTAGAGAGACAAGCCCAAGGGCAGCGATACTCGCCTCTGGAAACGCTGAAGATAAAAAGTCACCTTAAAAGCCACCCCGGGGCTCCCAGGCGCGATACAGGGAGAGCAAATTGCGCCCAAAACCCTTAACCAACCTGTCTGCCGCCAAACTGTCCAGCGCAGGGGCCCAAATTTCGCCCAGCCCAGGGCTCCTATGGCAAACGGGAAGGCGACACGGCATCGGCTGGATGTGGTGGGAGCTGAACCACCCTCCCCGTGCCATCCCCAAGCAGGTGATGTTAAGCCTGGTTTAGCGGGATGTTCATCACGTGCTGATGGAGTTTGCCGGCGCTCCCTCCTTCCCCTGCCTTAGCCATCGCCGTCCGCAGCCTCCTCGGGGGGCTGCCGGCCACCGCGCCGCTCCTTGGCTGTACTTTGGCTACCTCCAAAGTATTGCAATAACTCAACGGTGGGCATAGCCATACAGAGCCGGACAACACCATCACCGCTCGTTAATAGCGAAGCTGTTAAACGAGGTGACATTAGCATGCTACATCCCTCCGATTTGCGTGATGACGCGCTCTTAAAAAAAAAAAAAAAGAAAAAAAGTCTTTGCCTTCTAAAGGTTGTATACCAAGTATGCTTAAAGTATAAGTAAGACACTTTTTTTTTCTTCTAATACTTAGTTTTCCTTCAAAGATGGAAGCTGTAATTGATTCTATTTATTGTTGGTTTGTGGTAGCTTGAAGCATACCACTGTCCATTTATTTGTAACTGTAAAATACGTTTGTTAGTCTCAGCAGCACTTAAAAAGCCAGTGTCTGGTTACACATTTCAGTTTTGTTTTTTGTTTAGTAAGCAAGAGAAAAAGATGTACTGCCAGTGCAAGCTGTTTCCTATTTAATAAAAGGTACTATATTTGTACATTATTTGTTATTGCTGAGAAGGGCTTTTTAAGGTTTACTGTATGCATATTAAGTAATTTTTAGGGTGCTTTTGTGTTGAAATGTTGTTAAGAGTGGCTGCAGGCAGCAACCCAGATTTTTTTTTTTTTTTTTTTTAAGACTTTGTTGTAAAATTCAAGCACTTGGTTTTTGTTTCTGGATAAATCCAGCACAGACCAGACTTTTGTTTTGCTCAGTACCGACAGGACTCTGTTTGTGTCCCCGCGGTTTTTCAACTGGACCATTAGGGACAGACGTTGAAAACATTTTCTCCACCCGGTCGAGGCGCCCGTGCCCGGTCTGTGTCCTCGGCTTCCCTGGCCGTGCGGGCAGGCGTCTGGCTCTGCCTGCTTGAGATAGGAAGGAAAGGATTTTCTAAGTACCTACGGACGGAGGAGCACCAGCCCCTTGACTTTCAGTAGACTCCCGTGCTCCTGAACCCTCCTGGTGCCTTTGGAAAATCTCTCCCGGTACGTCAGGCTGGTCACGGAGGGAGTTGTACAGGCTGAGGCAGAGATGCTCATCAAAGCTTTTGGAAAATGCTTTCGAGTTCCCTTGGAAATGCTCTTGAATCAGGATTTCAGACCATTAAAAAAAAAAAACAAACAACCAGCGCTATGTAGTAAATCGTATCAGATTATTTGACGTTTTGCGAGGTGCTTAGCATCGACAGAAAGGAGTTTTCTCAAAGGTACGACAGCCCTTCCCTTCGGTGAGTGGCAATCTTTGGCACCGGTCACAGATGTAAAGATTAAAAAATGGCCTTTTTTTACTTTCCACCTCTCTTATCCCACCAAAGATTTACTTCCAGCACAACAGGCACGATGTCCCTTTTGCCAAACGGAGGATTAAATCCTCCTCTCCCTCCTCCTAAGGGTAACCAGATCGGGGTCAGCGGGTCGGGACGGATGAGTAAAGCAAATTATTTAACCCGCAGCATCATTCACGTGGCGTTTATCGTTTCTTTTGAAAGACCAGCTGCTGTGTCCTTCTTAGCATTGAACTTTTTTGCCAGCAGTTCCCTGAGCAAAGACTTACTGGTTTCCACAGGTACCATCTCGAGTGGGGAAAATTTTGCACTTTCACACTTCGCAAAGCAAAGCTCAGCCCCGCGCCGGGCTGCACGCGGCCAGCAAGCCTTGAGCAAAAGCAATAATTAAAACCTGGATCAGCCATGAGCTTAAAAAAGCCCCATTCTCTGAACCCCTGAATTTCTTGTTGTTTTTAAATAGAATGCATTTCATTTTAACATTTTCTGAGAACTTTTTTAGATGTTTGTTTACTTCCATGTTTACAGATAACTCTTTGCTTTTTTTTTTTAATGCAGTACTTTTAAGTATATCAGCCAAAACCATACTTTTACAGTAACTTTTGTTTTAGGTAATATGAGTGACATTCCATTTTTTTTTTTGTTGTTAAATATGCTTTACCAGTCTTGAATTTCCGCTGGAACAAAATATTTGTAGCATTTTGTGTAAATACAAGCTTTAATTTTTTATTTTTTCAAATGCTGTCACCCGAGATTTGCTTTTCATGCACATATTGTACAAACACACTCCGCTTTATGCCACAGCTGATGATTGTGGATCAGTTTACTTCAACTTCAAAGGGACTATTTGTATTGTATGTTGCAACTGTAAATTGAATTGTTTGGCATTTTCTCATGATTGTAATATTAATTTGAAGTTTGAATTTCATTTTCAATAAAACGGCTTTTTTTTGTTAATGTTCTTCTATGCTTCTTTTTCTTCCACTGTCTCCTCTTAGCACCAGGCAGCGTAAAGTACACGGTAGGACACAGTACCGGCCCTTCTGTGGTGTGCCCATCCATTTCTGCAGCACTTAAGCTTTCAATTAAATATAAAAAGCAAGTTTCCAGGCCTATAGGTGGTAAAGGACACCTTCTAAATCTGATTTCAAATGTTGCTTCTTTTCCTGAGTCTGCAAACTATCAAAACCTGTGTTTCTTAGAGTGCAAACTGCTCTTCATCTTGCTAGATCGTTAACTCTGAAACCTAACAACTGACATTAGCCAGGACATTCTGGTGCTACGGCGCTGTGGGCAGAGCTTGAAGCATAGGAAAAGCTGGGATAGATTTCCCGGGGGGGGGGGGGGGGGGGGGGTGGGGGCAGGGATTGGGCTTTTTCCAGGATGGGGGTTGCGCTATCCCCACCTCTTCCTGGTCAGACCTGAGGAATGCAGTTACAGATAATCTTGTGATTTGCATGGCCTGAGGCAAGAATAGTTTCCAAGCAGCGAAAGATATATGGGTAGGGAGGCTGGGGGAGGAGGCTATTTT